ACGCCGTTAAGGCCAACATAGTGGGCAAAAAGCTGGGCTGGTTTGCAGAACACCTGGAAGACCGAAAGGAACCGTTGAATAGTGAGGAATTTGAACAGCTGATAGACACGTACGTTAGATGCATTCCGCATCTAGTTGTTTCGATCTAATAAACATAATTTTCAACTTACAGATATCTTGCACGTTTTGAGGAGGAATTGGAGCAGATCAAACTGGTTCAGTCAATCAGTAAACAACGGAACAATCAGCACGCGTCCCGTGAGGCAACCATAAAGATAACACTGGAAAAGGAACTGGAGAATTTCAACGGCGGTGGTCTGGAGTTGCCCAATCTTTCCGATGCGCTCGAATTTAAAAAGTTTCAGCAATGGGATGGAAACGCGCAGACAGTTCAACATCTGAAGTTGCATTTTATTTCTCGTAAGCAGCTACAAATGAGAAAGAGTAACGATTCTAGCACAAATAATGAACATATGGCAACGGAATAGAAATCAAATGCAGTTTTTTTTGTAAGTTAATAGAAAGAACGACTTATTCGGCATCTTCTTGTTTCAATTTCTTCTGTTGTGGTTTTGATTCATCAGCTTCCGTTTTTACGCTCGCATCATCGCTACTTCTCTGCTTTACAATCAACCAGTTTTGCATCATCTTGCTCTTGGGGGTAACTGTTGCCTTCATGCTAGATTTGATCTCTCCAATCGGCTTATTGCACTGGTCTGATTTGTTTCTGGAGTTGTTTACTAAATTGGTCACTCCGTACCATTGGATCGATTCGCATGGCTTCAACATGTTTAACGCTCGAGTAGCACCTACCTTGCGGAAGTCGAGCCAAGAAGCAACTTCTTCGTCCGTTTCCAGAATTGCCGGTATGCGGTGGTGGATTTCGGAGAATTTCTTGTTGGATTCGAATGTAATCAATGTATAGCTGTACAGTTTGTCGCCATTTTCATCTTCCCAAACATCAAATAGGCCAGCCATTTTCAACAGATTAATTCCACCGTTGTTTTCGAGATCCCACGTGGATTTATCTTCGATTTTCACGCCTTCCTTCTGGGGCATGTGAATGTAGAATGCAGGTCGTTCGGATGATTTAAGTTCCTTGGTCGTTTGCCACTCATAAAATCCTTCGCAGAGAATCACACATCGGTGACCGGCTTCGAGCGGTGGACCGTACAGCTTAGACTTGGCCAAACTCTCCAATCGGCAGTTGTTCGTTGTAAGACCGTGCTTGCGATAATCACCCTTATGCCAACGGGGGACCATGCTCCACATCATCGGTACAATTGTTCGCTCCGCGCTGTCCTTGTTCTCGTCAAAATACGCTGCAGAAACCAGCACTGGTGTTATGTCCGTTGGAGCGACGTTGTGGGATGGTTGGTACTTTCGACCGCAATTGAATTCATTTCGATATTCTGGAGATTTGGGTTTAGTCTGCGTGGTTTTTTGATATCTGCAGCAGCATTGGATCTCTTTCGGTTCAAGCGTTCTGGGAAGAGGGTGAGATTTATAGACAATAATTAATAGCGCTTAAAATAATTCAGGTATGATATATGAGTGTAGTTGAGAAACCACGTGGCGTTGCGACATTAGGCCATCAATCCGCAAATGCCCCTCTCCTCCTCCTAAGGTTTCTACGTGGTTTATGAACAGTCCCTAATGGTCTGAATCCCTAATACTCTCAACAGTCATGATTATAGTACCGTACCAGTACCATAATCAACGTAATTAAAGGAGTACAACGGTACTACAATCATGTCTATCATAAGAATAAGATTGTTGTATTTTGCAATACAGTGCTCAGAGTGCTCCTTCTATGATATCGAAAGGTGCTTCTTGAATGAAAAAGCTTGAAAACCAGGTACCAAATTCTATTAAATAATTTCAGATTCACGTTGAGCAGTTGAGTTCAGCATGACTGTAAATATAGGTGTTGCCAGGTGGAGGGGGTAGTAGAACTCAATGAATGTTTTTGAAAAATAGATTTTTTTTTTTCAAGAATCTGGCACTTCACAGAAATTTTGGTTAGAATTCCAAAGGTAGAGAATTGAAAACCATGGATTCGAGGATGAAATCCATAATAAAGCACTTCGAGAATTTCGAACTCGTGATGCATTTAAAAAATCAAGATATAAATCTCATTGCATTCTAATAGGAATTTGTACGCGAGAGAGATTTTTTTATTAAGGAGACTTTCAGCCCTGAGCTGGTTCGTCTCCGTTAAACACGAAATCCAAACTTTGCCTGACGAATAAACTTCTAATATTTAAACAAGTTTTTAGACCGGCCATGCTTTACGCTACCACGAAAAAAGCACTTCAAAGGATTCAGAACAAAGTTCTGAAGATGATTTTGAAGTTGCCTCCCTGGTACAGTACTACCGAAGTACATAGAATTTCGAATGTTGAGACTTTAGAACAATGTCCAACAAAATAATTAATAATATTAGGCAAAAATCGTGCAGATTTTTTAATGGAATACTGAAAAGAATTCCATGGGAACCGAATTCTAAGAATAGTTGCAAAAAAAAAATCTGCTGATGATTTCAAGAGACTCAAATAAAATGTTAACAGAATCTCTGGGAGCTTTCCTAGAAAATTCTGCGAATACCTATATGGATAAAAGAATTTAATTTGAGTTTTGTTAATAAACTCATAGAAATTCTGAGGAAAATTCCAAGGGAAATTCAGGATAATTTCAAGGGAATTCTGAGAGGAAAATTCCCAGATTTTCTGCGAACATGTCAAAGGGAATCCTGAGGAATATTTCAAAGGAATTTAGGAGTATACTTAGGAAAAGGTGAGGAGACTTTTAACGAAAGTTTACGTTGAATTCTACGAAAAGTTCCAGGAAACTTCAGTGCAAACTAAATTAAAAGAAGGATTGTAAATTAACTCATTGGTCTCAAAAATATGTCGAATAATAGCAATTATGCTATATGACCGTGGACATTATGCCAAACGTACTTATACCAAATGTACCTTTCCAGAAACCATTAATTTTTCGCTGCATACAGCGTAAATATTCGTTTTTTTTAACTCAGGTAATCATGACAGATTCTGACGCAATAGGCCTCTTTTTTTTTCATTCGCGTTGTTTTCAAATATCAAAACGTCATGATTACCTAAGATTTAAATATTTACACATATGGCTGATATCTAAGGCTAATATAAAAATTTAAAGCTTCTATCAGCCTGTTCTGCCTTGCAAAACGGACCCTTACCGGGCTTGGTAGACTGTTTTGATAAAGTTCCATTAATAATGAAGGTCTTACTTTAATTTGGTTTAAACTTACAGGCACGTTCGTCCACACATGTTGGAAGTATTATTAAGATTTCATGAACTTTTAATTTTTACGATAACACTTTGTTTAAAACAATATTTATTTCATAGATTCGTTTTGGTAGCAAATCTCATTCACGACGCGCTGAACTTCGATTCACCAACGAGTGCGGATACAAAACAAGTGTAGTGTACAGTGTTGCCAGAACTACCTATATTGGTATTTCAACCGATTTTTGAGCTCCATAGCGATCTAACGATACCGCTCGTGGCGAATAGGAGAAAATCAGGCATAACATTTGATAACGGCACAAAAGCATTTGTAAACAAACATTCTAAGGCCCTTTACACGCGAACTAAAGTACGCCCACGCAAACCAATACCACTTACGGAAAGGTGATAGTTGCCCCTATGCGATGATGTTGTTGGTTTGCGTGGGCTTACTTTGGTTCGCGTGTAAAGGGCCTTAGAAGGTTTGTTTACAAATGCTTTTGTGCCGTTATCAAATGTTATGCCTGAAATAATAGAAAAATGATTAAGTGACACAGTGATGACAGATTTTAACTGCCCAACGTTTCACACGACACACATAATTCACCTTTTTGAATGCACAGTTAGAGAGTGTCCGTGTCCAGTGGTGAAAAGCAAGCGCGATTTATCCAAAAACATCCACAACCAAAATCAGATGAGACAACCCATATTGGAAATCAATATATTGAACGTAACCGATTGAACTAATTTCCTCTGAAGAAGGCAACCAAAAACACCCGAAACGTTGGGCAGTTAAAAACCTATCGTTTGAACCCTCCAGACTGTATAGCCGAATCTCGTATACAATATAATTTACAGTGTGATTTAAATTTAATTTAATCGAATCAATGTTACATCTGCTACAAGATCAAAGAAGAAAAAAAAATTAAAATAAAAAAAAAGCGCATAATAAATTTAAAAAAAATCTTCCGGTTGCCAGCCCTAATAAAATTTGTATTGTTGTTTGTTAAATGACGTGTTCTGGGTATCATCTTCTAAACCTTTTATGGAACATGTTCTATCATTTGGGTTGTCGTTCGGGTATGGTTTTTTTATTAGAGAGAGAGAGGAAGCAGTGAAATAGAGATAAAAAACAGCAACATGCAATAATTAATCAATAATCTCATTAAGATAGGTATTTTCAGACATATTCAGACGATCAACCCGTTGTGTATAGTGCCCTTATAAAATGCATTCACCGCCCCAAACATGTATGCACCGTTCAAGATCTTCGTCAGTTATGTTCAATAAATAAATTCCAATAATTTAATTTTGATTTCTGTGAACGGATGGTACCGATAATCGAAAAATTACTCTGGCAACTCTGGTAGTGCGGCGCAATTTGTTTACCACAGTTGATCATTTGAGCAAAGGTTTATATACAAAAAAGGTACTAACTCTTGTTGTCTCATTTAGTAACTCTTGTTGGCGAATTTTTGGATGTTGATAATTTAAGATTGTATACAAACATATACAAAATTAATTATTAACAACTAAAAATACACGATACATAGATTTTATTTATCGTCATTCTAACACCAAACGCGACGGAACATCAAAAAGTACTAAATGCGCGATTAAGTTGAAGGCTGCGATAGCGTGTAAGCAACCCTATCCTAAATCTAAGACCTTGTCACTGCAAGATTCTGATAATCGATCAAAACAAAACCGGCGATAACCATTATTCTTGTCCGCTTCGTCCGATTGCACTCATATCGATGGTTCTCTATCGTTTGTTGTTTTAGGAAAAATGCAGTTGTAAACATTTATCATAATTTCAATCGTGCCAGTTCGGTTGTTTCAATTTTCGATAATGCCGAAGCAAAAGTGGTAATATCCATGATGTAAGATATTTTTCATAAACGAAACTTATAGAAGACCTCATTTACGCAGGACTACAAGTGGTAAACAGTACTGCGCCGAGCCGGAACATGATCCGTACGAGCTGTTGTACAGAAAATCGGACATCTTCTACGAATACCTGAACGATGCACCGTGCAAGGTTCCAAACGTCGAGGAACACCTTGCCGACCCGATGGAATTGCTAGAGACTATAGATAGTATCGATCTACCGGCGCACCGGCTGACGGGAAAGGTACGGCTGCAGTACTTGAATTTCTTGGAAAAATTACTGGAAAATAACTACGATGCATGGTCCAGTACGGTGGAACCGTATGAAAGTGTAACATTCACACCAGATGAGGTGAAAAGATGCGCTGCAAGTATTGAAATGAAAGCGGTAAGTAAGATCTCAAAAGATTGTCCTGACGGTTTTGGTACATTTGGCATAATGGCCACTAGGTAAAACGAACATTTGCCATAATCTTTACGAATCGATCTTTCTTTCGGAAAGAATTGTAATCGTACAAGTCACTATTGTTAAAATATTTCCTTCGAATATTCAATATAGAAGGGAGTATTCCCTATATTTAATATATCAAAAAGAAGAGAATATTTAGCAAAAAAAAATGCTCCCTACTTTGAATATGTAATTCTTTTCCTGTCTTACTATTTGGCCTAGATTTGTTCAATATAGTTTGGTTTTAAATTAATTTTTGCATTGTCCTTTTTCCATTATTACACTTCGCAATTTCACAATTCAAAATATCAGGGTTTTGTGAATGTAGTCATGTAACTGAAACCAAAACTGGATTTTATGCTGCGGACAAGCAAGCAATTTCTGAAATTTACAGATATATCTACATTATGATTGAGTTATGTGGGCTGTACGGTATTTCATTGGAAACCCATTTTGTAGAAGTCCATATCGTGGAATGATCCATTTCACGGACTTCCATTTGGCGATATAATTCGTTTCGCGGCATTTCATTTGATGGAATGGTTTGATCCTGATTAAATAATTTTAGGGTATTTTTTCTTCTTTTAAACGCAGTTCTTCGAGTTTTCTTTATCGTAGTCTTTGGCACCGAAAGCTGTTTATATAAATAATCAGCCACCAAAATGAAATTAAGAGGAATGGGGTATTCTGCGAAATGAAATTCCGCGAGATGGGGCATTTCGCGAAATAGTTGTAGTCTTGAAATTGCAAAGTGTGATGAGAAAAAAGACTAGATGGGCTATGCAAGAAAACACCTTTAAGCAAGCACCACACGGGCAATAATATTGCAGTAATTAGAACATTTTGCCTTAAAGAATTATTAATTCAATCCTTTTGATGTAAAACTATAGTCCTACATATGAAGTGCTGTTATTCAACACAGATCAAATTAAAATTTCAAATAGTAGTAGCTTCAACCATGCATAGATATAAGTTAATGTACCAGAACCTGGACGGACACTTGAGCCCACCCAATGGAGTATCCGGATGTGACTATCCATGTTAGTCTAGAGTGATCAGTACAACTGGAATGACAGTAGGTGCATAGACCTGGGGGTTGGTCCCTAGATACGCCAATTTAGTGGAAGGCACGGGATATGCACTGAACAGTTACAATTACAATTTCAATTACGATAATAGCATTGTTAAACCTAGTTTTCTGGAAGTAATTTGAATGAAATATTTGCAGGTGCAGTCCTGTATGATCATGTCATTGTATCGAAATTACGTTCTCAAGTTGGTAAGATTGTTTTCTTAATCGTCTATTACTGTCCTTAAAAATAACACTTGTATGGAATATTCTAGATCTCGCAAATTCGTAAGGAAACCAAAGAAGTTAGCCTGCACCCGACCCTTATCAACATGAAGTTCACACCAAAGATAATTAAGAAAGAATGCTCCCATGTAGCAGTCCAAACCGATCCGTATGAGGAACCCTATAGCATACAAGCAAATATGGTAAATTTTCTCGAAAGCAATGATCTTCCACTTCTGGATGTACCTGCGATGTCTCTGGATGAGAAAATTCGCAATTTTGAACGTAAAATGCAACTAACTAGCCCGGAGCTAAGGGCTAAAAAAAGTAAACGTGAAAAAAGCAGACGCAAGGAACGATCCCGATCTCGTAATAGGGATCGTTCGTCTTCCCACATGGAAAGGAAGGACAATTCATGCTATTCATTGCACCATGAAGGGGAAGACAATCTGAAAGATCAGCAGCGAAAGCCAATAGATACCTTGATGTCCCCTATTACCAAGCTTCCTGAGCCAGGAAACGATGGTGCTCAAGACGATCAAATTATGCGAGAATTGGAAGCTATGTTCGAAACTGGCGACAATGGAAACATATTTGATTCCTGTGAAAATCAAGTTCAAATCAATGCCATCATCAACGAGATTGAAAAGTTTGAACCTACAAATGCATGTGAACATTCTTCCTCAACACGTAAGCCACCTAATCAGCAGATCCTTGAAGTTCAACAAGAAATTCTTGAATTGCAATCCCCCAAATACGACTTTGACGATGCACACACTGGTTTGCTTGTATCTAAAGAGTATTCCAAGCTTGGATCTAGCGAGGAAAAGAAGGCTGACCTTAAGAAAAGCCTATGGCCATGTGAATTGCATATGCAGAAAACAAAACTACGGGAACTACTGAGCAATATTGCCGATATGAACTATCTGAGGTACGAACGTATCCGCGCTCGGTTTGTGATTTTTTTCGGCGAATACGAAGAAGAAGAGGATGAATTGGGTCCGTACAGTCCATCGATTGAGTTAAATGAAATATTGGTGTCTAGCTGTCGTCAGCGGATTGCAAAATGGGTTGTGCAAGCGCTAATGAAGCCACTAAATGATGGTCTAATTGCCAATAGGTTCCTGTTCAAAAGACTCGCCAAACATGTGGCAGATAATATCATTTATTTGAACCAGTATCCGGGTGAGTAACATCAATCATCTAATTTCGTGATTTTCTTCAAATAAATCGTTTCCTTTCGTAATTCTAGATCAACGTTTTATCAAAAACTACGTGGTGGATTATTTCTGTACGCATACTTTTATTTCCTCGGTAGAAGATATGAATTAGATTTGTCCTAGGGGGTCCTATGTGCGTAGTTTGCTGTTTCATAAAATCCTAAACTTACAGGCAGTGATATCATCGATCTATTTTTTTCATGATCCAATGGAAGGAATGCAACAATCGATGCATTTAAAATTATTGTAGCAATTAACAATGATGTAATTCTGTGAATTATCTAACTTACGTTACTTTAAATATAGTTTTGATTTATTTTTTGAAGCATTTCAAAATAAATAGTGAAGCTCTTAATTCGCCGTTACGTTTACTGAAATTTAGTAGATTTTAATATGAAAGAAAGCCGTTCTTGAGCATAGATTTTCTACATAATTGAAGTGCATCCTATCCTATGCAATATGGTTTATCGCTTCCTATTTTGGAATAGTTTAAATAAGCAAGATGTGCTAGTTTTACGGTTAGGGAATGTTCGTCACTTCTCTATACAATTTTAATAATTCTCATATATGTTATGCCCAATTTTAGAGTATTTTGTTTTGTTTTAACTAACTTTGGCAGTATAGCTCGTGGGAGTTTACTGAAAGGAGATTACTACCAATAACTAAGTGATTACTACCAATAACTAATTACAATTAACTAGTCAAGAAGTAGAAAATAATGTTGTTTCTGTTGTTGTTTCTTTTATCTTTCAGCCACAAACTATCGTGTACGATATAATAATAACTAAACCAAACCGAATGTTGCAAAACTTTAATAATTTAATAATTTATCCGTTTCTTTTATTTTGTTTCTTTTCAGCCCCACAATTGAATCATCCCTCCCTTATCTATTCCTATTTAATGTATCTGACACTAGTGGGAACAGTCTAAAAACTGAGCCTGCTTTTGAAGGATGGTGGCATGCCAAACGGTCTGGCATGTATTAACGCATAGGCTTTGTAAATTCTCTCCTGGTTTGGGTGGGGGCTGAGCAATAGGGCTACCCCATTCCCGGCCTATTAAGCACAACCCGTACTTAGTCTTTCTTAATCTAGCGTAGTTTAGCACCAACGGAATGTTATTATAACTTATGGCTTCTAACTTATTTACCTTTCAGTACGTACCATAAGATTTCATTAAGAGAAACAAATTCTGATAAAAGTCTAACACTGCTTCTTGACGCCAAACTCGGCCTACGGATTCTAAATTCGGCCTAACGCATTGAAACGCATTCAAGCGCCATTGAATTCCCTTCGGCATATCGGATGAAGATAAAAATTGATTCGGTCGGAGCGTTTCTTTTGTTTTTGAGTAAAATGGGTGTGAACATTCATATCACGCGCTCTCATTGATTTCGTTCGGTTCGGTTTGAACTAAAGCAGCGTATCAAACGCATAATTGATTTGTTAACTCTGAAACAATGAATTTATGTGATGTTTTCTGCTCGATAGGCCCAAAATGGGCGATTAGGCCGAAGTTGTTCTCTACCCTACTAATGACAAGAATGATTGAGGTATGAAATCAATAGGTTAAAAAGTGTTTTGAATCCAAGAATTTAATTTGGATTCCCGTGCACTGCGGCATCCGGGGGAATCAGGAAGCTGATTATTTGGTCCGGTAGACATTTACTCTGAACATCACGGAAGTTCAACGTTATGAGCCCAGGGCCACATCTTTAACAATTTTGAAATTTGTCTGCAGATCCCAGTTTAATAAGTTGAGGACTGTATTTTGGTGACAACTTCTTTGGTTGATAGCTAACTTTATGCTAACCAATGTGTAATTTAAAGTTATCTGCATATAGTAGCGTGAAAACGTAGAATATGGCTCTTAAAAAGGGTTTTTTGATTTCGGGTCGGTGGTTCTTTGAAAATACTTTATATACACAACATATAACAAAAATTTATTCAAAATACAAATACATCACAAAATAATGAACACTCTTCTGTGTGAAATAGTGATTTCTTCTCTAACTTAACTTTTAAAAATCTTCCTAGAGTGTTATAAATTTTTGGTAACTAATATTTGGTTTCACAATCTGTTGTTGCATTCTCTTACATCTAATGTTATATTTTTCATTTTTACGGCGTAGTACGTTAGAATTGTAGCCAGTAAAATGGACCTTTGCCATTGTCGTGCGCTTGGTGTCCAATGGGAACCGGTATCCCAATAGAGAAAGCTTATGGCAAGAACCTCTTCAGAGAAAATATCGCCTGCGATTCAATCTGAAAAGGTTCCGCACAGCAAGAGATCATCCAATAATACTTTCTACCCGGGCGTCGAAAGATCAAATGGATCATCTCCATCATAGAAAGCTATTTCAAAAACGTCCGGATGTTTTCAAAATAGCTTGCTACTCAACGATCAACAATGGCTACAGCCTTACATCTCACCAATTGACTTACTGAAAATATTACCCCTTAAGTGTTCTAAACAGATAAACAATTTTCGAAAAAATATGCTTAATAGCTACCCGAGCACACATTAAAAATACAAGTACGCTAGAGTGACAATTCGGCCGTAATTGTTTAAAGTGTTGGATCTCAAATCAATCCTGCGAGTTCCGTTTTTATGAATTTGATAACACGTTGGCGACCCAGCTTGTTCCACAAGACATGCGGCTTGTTGCTGCCTGTGACTTGTCTGGGTCCCGGCTGGAAACACTCGTACAGAGTATTGTATCGTTCATTAACGAAGCATCTCCAAACGTCGACATACTGGCAATGAAATTTGCGTATAAGTTCATTGAACTTGTGTAACCGGTCAGTGATGCCGGGTATATGCGAACTGTTCGCCAATGGTGACAGTGTGGTGAGTATGGCGCAAACACCACGGATTTCCAGATTTTTCAACAGCTGGAGTAGGTCCTGCTGCATATCAACCAAGTCGTGGCCATGCAGTAAGTCCACGACGCCTACGTTAACTATGACCCGATCGTTAATGTAGGTGGCCTTCATTACACGGTCCGCTGCTTCCGCGATTGTCATACCGGAAACGCAAAGGCCACTCTGTTGAATGTTGTGTCCTAGAAATGCAAAAAAACAACATTATTAGATTAAACAGTAAAACCACAAACGAAGTGACAGACGACTAACTGGCGAAGAAATCAATTAAAATAATGTGGTTCACTGTAATATAATTTTCTTAGAAGCTTGTGCCATCATCCACCAGATGGGATAGTATTTTTGTTTTGGTTTTGCACAAAGTTGATTTTGTGTACAATGATTCTTTGACAGTGTGCAAAGAGTGCGTATCATTTTGTCATTTTTTAATGCATTTCAGTTTTGAGTAGAGTGAAAGAGATAGAACCAAAACATTCTAGTACATTTGGTGAAAATGCTAGTTCAATCCAGTAGTAGCATAAACGAAGTGACAGACGGAGCGGCTCGAAAACTTTGGTGACTAACCTGCTATTGCAATTTTTCAGTGTACCACATGGCAACACCACTACTACTGGATTGTACCACATGGCAACACTACTACTGGATTGAACTAGCATTTTCACCAAATGTACTAGAATATTTTGGTTCTATCTCTTTCACTCTACTCAAAACTGAAATGCATTAAAAAATCAGCCTCATACATTCCATAAGACAAACCACATAGGTCCTATAAGAATGCATAAAAGGTATGTGTGACCGCTTATACATTTTATTTGACACATGATCTTCATTAGCTTTTTGCAAGGTGTCTGCTTATTATTTTGGCCATAGAAATTTGCCAAAAGGTATAAGGAGATTTCTATCCGTATAGTAGATTTAACAGTAAAAAGCGTGGTTTGTTTCTCCTTGATTTGTTTTTCGTCGATCTTGTTTTCCGTGCTGAGCACCAATGTTACCGACGTCAGGGAGGCAGCTCCCACACCTGGACCCTACCCAACGACCCATCAACTCATGAACCGGGGACCAACGGCTTTACTTCCCTGTGTGATCAGAGATGTTATGTCTCAGAACATCCCGGCGGCGCCGACTGGGGTTGAACCCCTGCATGCTGGGGTGAGAGGTAATCACGCTTACCACTACGCCACCGGCGCTGCTTTAAGCGTGGTTATATTGATAATAAGGGCCTTATTACGGGTGTCACTACACGGTGATAAGAAAGTGATACTCATAATAAGAGCCGTACAAATCAAATGGGAATGACAAGTGACAAGTTTTCACCGTGAAGTGACATCCGTAATAAGCCCCTAAGTGTTTTCTGCAAAACAGTATCCCTAACTATGGTCCTTGTTTCAGTGTATTTAATTTAAACTAGCAATATAGTGTTGGTTGGAAATGCTAACATGAAGCTTTAGTGTGATAATTTATTAGCTAGAGAATGATCTTTAGAAGAGGGTAGGTGGATAGTTCCGTTAGAATACGGCAGTATGAAAATTGAATAGAAGTTGAAAATGAGCGATTAATGCGACAGTATAAAGCCAAATGCACACCTTTTTGCCTAACCCGTACGATGTACGCGGAGATTTGAAGTATGTCTGGGCCTATAGATTTGAAGACATACTTCAAATCTCTGCGTACATCGTACGGGTTAGGCAAAAAGGTGTGCGTTTGACTTTGTACTGTCGCATTAATTGCCCTTCGCTCATTTTCAACTTCTATTCAATTTTCATACTGCCATACTCTAACGGAACTATCCACTATCTATAGTTCTATAAGTATCCATAATTTTCGTGAACAAATACGCCTTTTTTAAATTAATTATATGAGTTAAACATTAAAGACTCCCGTAATGTTACATTATATACGAATGAAATCACTCTTTCAAATGCATCAAATAGCATACAAATCCACTTGCTCCTTTTTTAAGATATCCACATTTGAAAATAGCAACAAAAATCATTAATAACTTTCCAACTGAAAGAAATAGCAATTTGGTTACTTCAGCAAAGAAATGCGTCATCAAAAGTCCTAAAAGCTTTTAGAACAAATCAGTGCCAACATTTCAAAGGGGCGTAATTGCATTTGTAAACAATGGCTTTAGCCGTCGATTTCTCGCAACTAAAAGATCGCTCATAAAAATTAATTGCACCAACAGGTAGAGGAATGTTTCCTCTACCAGCTAGTATTTTTTTTTGGAGGAGTTAGCTTTTATTTGCGATAAATCGACGGCTAAAGCCATTGTTTACAAAAGCAATTACGCCCCTTTGAAATTTTGGCACTGAAATCATTTGCGAGACATCAATGTATCAAAAGTTAATGTAAATTTTTTTTTATTGGAGTCACCCTAAACTACATTTTTAAAACCAGTAAAGAACCATTAGAAATATAACATTTGTATCTTCAGTAAAGTTGCATCAAATTAGTTGTTATACAACT